ATGGTGGCGAGAACTACAGGCCTTTCTGCACAGAAGCCCTCCCGCTGCTGGTAAGAGTCATTCAGTCCACTGTTTCAGAGACCAAAGAAAACATCAATGCTAGAGAAAACTGTATTTCAGCATTCGGGACAATTATGAAGTTCAAGCCCGACTGTGTGAACGTGGAGAAGGTCCTGCCCCAATGGTTCTCTTGGATCCAGCTGCACGAGGACAAGGAGGAAGCTTTCCAGACCTTCAGCTACCTGTGCGACCTCTTGGAGGTCAATCACCCCATCGTCATTGGCCCTAGCAATACCAACCTGCCCAAGATATTCAGCATCATCGCAGAGGGAGATTGAGGAAACATGCTTTGTACAGGGGAGGGAGGAAGGAGGATGAAACAATCTTTGTGCAGGGGAGGGGAGGGAGGAGGGAACATGCTTTGTCCATGGGAGTGGAGGGAGGACAGGAAATGCTTTGTAGAGTGGAGTGGTGGGAAGAGGGAACATGCTTTGTACAGTGGAGTGGAGGGAAGAGGAGGGAACATTCTTTGTACAGGGGAGGGGAGGGAGGAGGGAACATGCTTTGTACAGTGGAGGAGAGTTGAGGAAACATGCTTTGTACAGGGGAGGGAGGAAGGAGGGACTATGCTTTGTACAGGGGAGGGGAGGGAGGAGGATGGAACTATCTTTGTGCAGGGGAGGGGAGGGAGGAGGGAACATGTTTTGTACAGGGGGGGAGGGAAGATGAGGGAACATGCTTTGTACAGGGGATGGGAGGGAAGATGAGGGAACATGCTTTGTACAGGGGATGGGAGGGAAGAGGAGGGAACATGCTTTGTACGGGGGGGGGGAAGATGAGGGAACATGCTTTGTACAGGGGATGGGAGGGAAGAGGAGGGAACATGCTTTGTACAGGGGATGGGAGGGAAGAGGAGGGAACATGCTTTGTACACGGGAGGGGAGGCATTTGGGAATATGCTTTGTACAGGAAAGGGGAGGGGGGAGGGAACATGCTTTCTACAGGGGAGGGGAGGGAGGAGGGAACATGCTTTGTACAGGGGAGGGGAGGGAAGAGGAGGGAACATGCTTTGTACAGCGGAGTGGGGGGAAGAGGAGGGAACATGCTTTGTACAGGGGAGGGGAGGCACAGTAGATACAAGTAGAAGGTGTTACCGTGCTTTGAACAGCTACTTCCGTTTATTGTCAAACTAATATGTCCGCATAGACCCTGGCCAGACAGACGGCAGGAATTGTGCATCTTGGATGATGTCATCGAGCACTGTAGTCCATCTTCGTCTAAATATGCAGAGTATTTCTTACAGCCGATGCTGCAGTATGTGTGTGACAACAGCCAGGAGGTCCAGCAGGCGGCCGCGTATGGCCTGGGTGTCATGGCGCAGTATGGTGGCGAGAACTACAGGCCTTTCTGCACAGAAGCCCTCCCGCTGCTGGTAAGAGTCATTCAGTCCACTGTTTCGGGGACCAAAGAAAACATCAATGCTAGAGAAAACTGTATTTCAGCATTCGGGACAATTATGAAGTTCAAGCCCGACTGTGTGAACGTGGAGGAGGTCCTGCCCCAATGGCTCTCTTGGATCCAGCTGCACGAGGACAAGGAGGAAGCTTTCCAGACCTTCAGCTACCTGTGCGACCTGTTGGAGGTCAATCACCCCATCGTCATTGGCCCAAGCAATACCAACCTGCCCAAGATATTCAGCATCATCGCAGAGGGAGAAATGCATGAGGCCATTAAACACGAAGACCCCTTGCAAACGCCTGGTTAACATGGTTCGCCAAGTTCAGACTTCTGGAAGACTATGGACAGAGTGCTTGGGCCAGCTCAGCCCCGAGCAGCAGGACGCTATCCGCGAGCTCCTGAAGTCCGCTTGAAGGGCTTTATCCGCACCACCAGAAATTATTTCAAAATTAACGTTTTCCCTTTTGTTTAGAAACAACATGCATTGTACAGGGGAGGGAAGGCAGAAGGGAACATGCTTTGTACAGTCGAGGGGACTTGAGGAAACGTGCTTTGTACAGGGGAGTGGAGGGAGGAGGGAACATGCTTTGTACAGTGGAGTAGAATTGAGGAAAAATGCTTTGTACAGGGGAGGGAGGAAGAAGGGAACATGCTTTGTACAGGGCAGGAGAGGGAGGAGGAGGGAACATGCTTTGTACAGGGGAGGGGGTAAGGAGGGAACATGCTTTGTACACGGGAGGGGAGGGTGGACGGAACATGCTTTGTACAGGGCAGGAGAGGGAGGAGGAGGGAACATGCTTTGTACAGGATAGGGGAGGGAGGAGGGACCATGCTTTGTACAGGGGAGGGGACGGAGGAGGGAACATGGTTTGTAAAGAGGAGGGGAGAGACAAGGGAACATGCTTTGTACAGGGGAGGGGAGTGAGAAGGGAACATGCTTTGTTCATGGGAGTGGAGGGAGGACAGGAAATGCTTTGTACAGTGGAGGGGTGGGAGGAGGGAACATGCTTTGTCCAGGGGAGTGGAGGGAAGAGGATGGAACAATCTTTGTGCAGGGGAGGGGAGGGAGGAGGGAACATGCTTTGTACAGGTGAGCGGAGGGAACAGCAGGGAACATGCTTTGTACAGGGGATGGGATGGAAGAGGAGGGAACATGCTTTGTACTTGGGAGAGGATGCAGTTGGGAACATGCTTTGTACAGGAAAGGGGAGGGGGGAGGAAACATGCTTTCTACAGGGGAGGGGAGGGAGGAGGGAACATGCTTTGTACAGTGGAGGAGAGCGAAGAGGAGGGAACATGCTTTGTACAGGGGAGTGGAGGGAAGAGGAGGAAACATGCTTTGTACAGGTGAGGGGAGGGAGGATGGAACATGCTTTGTAGAATGGACGAACTTTGAGGAAAATTTCTCTGTACAGTAGATACAAGGAGAAGGTGTTACCGTGCTTTGAACAGCTACTTCTGTTTATTGTCAAACTAATATGTCCGCATAGACCCTGGCCAGACAGAGAGCGGGGATTGTGCATCTTGGATGATGTCATCGAGCACTGTAGTCCATCTTCGTCTAAATATGCAGAGTATTTCTTACAGCCGATGCTGCAGTATGTGTGTGACAGCAGTCACGTGGTCCAGCAGGCGGCCACGTATGGCCTGGGTGTCATGGCGCAGTATGGTGGCGAGAACTACAGGCCTTTCTGCACAGAAGCCCTCCCGCTGCTGGTAAGAGTCATTCAGTCCACTGTTTCGGGGACCAAAGAAAACATCAATGCTAGAGAAAACTGTAATTCAGCATTCGGGACAATTATGAAGTTCAAGCCCGACTGTGTGAACGTGGAGAAGGTCCTGCCCCAATGGCTCTCTTGGATCCCGCTGAACAAGGACAGGAGGAAGCTTTCCAGACCTTCAGCTACCTGTGCGACCTGTTGGAGGTCAATCACCCCATCGTCATTGGCCCTAGCAATACCACCCTGCCCAAGATATTCAGCATCATCGCAGAGGGAGAAATGCATGAGGCCATTAAACACGAAGACCCCTTGCAAACGCCTGGTTAACGTGGTTCGCCAAGTTCAGACTTCTGGAAGACTATGGACAGAGTGCGTGGGCCAGCTCAGCCCCGAGCAGCAGGACGCTATCCGGGAGCTCCTGAAGTCCGCTTGAAGGGCTTTATCCACACCACCAGAAATTATTTCAAAATTAACGTTTTCCCTTTTGTTTAAAAAAAACATGTATTGTACAGGGGAGGGAAGGCAGAAGGGAACATGCTTTGTACAGGGGAGGGGAGGGAGGAGGGAACATGCTTTGTACAGGGGAGGGGAGGGAAGAGGAGGGAACATGCTTTGTACAGGGGAGTGGGGGGAAGAGGAGGGAACATGCTTTGTACAGGGGAGGGGAGGGAGGATGGAACATGCTTTGTAGAATGGACGAGATTTGAGGAAAATTTCTCTGTACAGTAGATACAAGGAGAAGGTGTTACCGTGCTTTGAACAGCTACTTCCGTTTATTGTCAAACTAATATGTCCGCATAGACCCTGGCCAGACAGACAGCGGGGATTGTGCATCTTGGATGATGTCATCGAGCACTGTAGTCCATCTTCGTCTAAATATGCAGAGTATTTCTTACAGCCGATGCTGCAGTATGTGTGTGACAACAGCCAGGAGGTCCAGCAGGCGGCCTCGTATGGCCTGGGTGTCATGGCGCCGTATGGTGGCGAGAACTACAGGCCTTTCTGCACAGAAGCCCTCCCGCTGCTGGTAAGAGTCATTCAGTCCACTGTTTCGGGGACCAAAGAAAACATCAATGCTAGAGAAAACTGTAATTCAGCATTCGGGACAATTATGAAGTTCAAGCCCGACTGTGTGAACGTGGAGAAGGTCCTGCCCCAATGGCTCTCTTGGATCCCGCTGAACAAGGACAGGAGGAAGCTTTCCAGACCTTCAGCTACCTGTGCGACCTGTTGGAGGTCAATCACCCCATCGTCATTGGCCCTAGCAATACCACCCTGCCCAAGATATTCAGCATCATCGCAGAGGGAGAAATGCATGAGGCCATTAAACACGAAGACCCCTTGCAAACGCCTGGTTAACGTGGTTCGCCAAGTTGAGACTTCTGGAAGACTATGGACAGAGTGCGTGGGCCAGCTCAGCCCCGAGCAGCAGGACGCTATCCGGGAGCTCCTGAAGTCCGCTTGAAGGGCTTTATCCACACCACCAGAAATTATTTCAAAATTAACGTTTTCCCTTTTGTTTAAAAAAAACATGTATTGTACAGGGGAGGGAAGGCAGAAGGGAACATGCTTTGTACAGGGGAGGGGAGGGAGGAGGGAACATGCTTTGTACAAGGGAGGGGAGGGAGGAGGGAACATGCTTTGTACAGGGCAAGAGAGGGAGGAGGAGGGAACATGCTTTGTACAGGGGGGGAGGGAAGATGAGGGAACATGCTTTGTACAGGGGAGCGGAGGGAACAGCAGGGAACATGCTTTGTACAGGGGATGGGAGGGAAGAGGAGGGAACATGCTTTGTACACGGGAGGGGAGGCAGTTGGGAACATGCTTTGTACAGTGAAGGAGTGGGGGGAGGGAACATGCTTTGTACAGGGGAGGGGAGGGAGGAGGGAGCATGCTTTGTACAGAGGAGGGGAGGGAAGAGGAGGGAACATGCTTTGTACAGGGAAAGGGAGGGAGGATGGAACATGCTTTGTAGAATGGACGAGATTTGAGGAAAATTTCTCTGTACAGTAGATACAAGGAGAAGGTGTTACCGTGCTTTGAACAGCTACTTCCGTTTATTGTCAAACTAATATGTCCGCATAGACCCTGGCCAGACAGACAGCGGGGATTGTGCATCTTGGATGATGTCATCAAGCACTGTAGTCCATCTTCGTCTAAATATGCAGAGTATTTCTTACAGCCGATGCTGCAGTATGTGTGTGACAACAGCCAGGAGGTCCAGCAGGCGGCCGCGTATGGCCTCGGTGTCATGGCGCAGTATGGTGGCGAGAACTACAGGCCTTTCTGCACAGAAGCCCTCCCGCTGCTGGTAAGAGTCATTCAGTCCACTGTTTCAGAGACCAAAGAAAACATCAATGCTAGAGAAAACTGTATTTCAGCATTCGGGACAATTATGAAGTTCAAGCCCGACTGTGTGAACGTGGGGAAGGTCCTGCCCCAATGGTTCTCTTGGATCCAGCTGCACGAGGACAAGGAGGAAGCTTTCCAGACCTTCAGCTACCTGTGCGACCTCTTGGAGGTCAATCACCCCATCGTCATTGGCCCTAGCAATACCAACCTGCCCAAGATATTCAGCATCATCGCAGAGGGAGATTGCATGAGGCCATTAAACACGAAGACCCCTTGGAAACGCCTGGTTTACGTGGTTCGCCAAGTTGAGACTTCTGGAAGACTATGGACAGAGTGCGTGGGCCAGCTCAGCCCCGAGCAGCAGGACGCTATCCGGGAGCTCCTGAAGTCCGCTTGAAGGTCTTTATCCGCACCACCAGAAATTATTTCAAAATTAACGTTTTCCCTTTTGTTTAAAAAAAACATGTATTGTACAGGGGAGGGAAGGCAGAAGGGAACATGCTTTGTACAGGGGAGGGGAGGGAGGAGGGAACATGCTTTGTACATGGGAGGGGAGGGAGGAGGGAACATGCTTTGTACAGGGCAGGAGAGGGAGGAGGAGGGAACATGCTTTGTACAGAGGAGGGGGGGAAGGAGGGAATATGCTTTGTACAAGGGAGGGGAGGGAGGAGGTAACATGCTTTGTACAGTGGATGGGAGGGAGGAGGGAACATGCTTTGTACAGGGGAGGGGAGGGAAGCAGAGGGAACATGCTTTGTACAAGGGAGGGGAGGGAAGAGGAGGGATCATCCTTTGTACAAGGGAGGGGAGGGAGGAGGTAACATGCTTTGTACAGTGGAGGGGAGGGAGGAGGGAGCATGCTTTGTCCATGGGAGTGGAGGGAGGACAGGAAATGCTTTGTAGAGTGGAGGGGTGGGAAGAGGGAACATGCTTTGTACAGTGGAGTGGAGGGAAGAGGAGGGAACATTCTTTGTACAGGGGAGGGGAGGGAGGAGGGAACATGCTTTGTACAGTGGAGGAGAGTTGAGGAAACATGCTTTGTACAGGGGAGGGAGGAAGGAGGGCATATGCTTTGTACAGGGGAGGGGAGGGAGGAGGATGGAACAATCTTTGTGCAGGGGAGGGGAGGGAGGAGGGAACATGCTTTGTACAGGGGGGGAGGGAAGATGAGGAAACATGCTTTGTACAGGGGAGCGGAGGGAACAGCAGGGAACATGCTTTGTACAGGGGATGGGAGGGAAGAGGAGGGAACATGCTTTGTACACGGGAGGGGAGGCACTAGGGAACATGCTTTGTACAGGAAAGGGGAGGGGGAGGGAACATGCTTTCTACAGGGGAGGGGAGGGAGGAGGGAACATGCTTTGTACAGGGGAGGGGAGGGAAGAGGAGGGAACATGCTTTGTACAGGGGAGTGGGGGGAAGAGGAGGGAACATGCTTTGTACAGGGGAGGGGAGGGAGGATGGAACATGCTTTGTAGAATGGACGAGATTTGAGGAAAATTTCTCTGTACAGTAGATACAAGGAGAAGGTGTTACCGTGCTTTGAACAGCTACTTCCGTTTATTGTCAAACTAATATGTCCGCATAGACCCTGGCCAGACAGACAGCGGGGATTGTGCATCTTGGATGATGTCATCGAGCACTGTAGTCCATCTTCGTCTAAATATGCAGAGTATTTCTTACAGCCGATGCTGCAGTATGTGTGTGACAACAGCCAGGAGGTCCAGCAGGCGGCCTCGTATGGCCTGGGTGTCATGGCGCCGTATGGTGGCGAGAACTACAGGCCTTTCTGCACAGAAGCCCTCCCGCTGCTGGTAAGAGTCATTCAGTCCACTGTTTCGGGGACCAAAGAAAACATCAATGCTAGAGAAAACTGTAATTCAGCATTCGGGACAATTATGAAGTTCAAGCCCGACTGTGTGAACGTGGAGAAGGTCCTGCCCCAATGGCTCTCTTGGATCCCGCTGAACAAGGACAGGAGGAAGCTTTCCAGACCTTCAGCTACCTGTGCGACCTGTTGGAGGTCAATCACCCCATCGTCATTGGCCCTAGCAATACCACCCTGCCCAAGATATTCAGCATCATCGCAGAGGGAGAAATGCATGAGGCCATTAAACACGAAGACCCCTTGCAAACGCCTGGTTAACGTGGTTCGCCAAGTTGAGACTTCTGGAAGACTATGGACAGAGTGCGTGGGCCAGCTCAGCCCCGAGCAGCAGGACGCTATCCGGGAGCTCCTGAAGTCCGCTTGAAGGGCTTTATCCACACCACCAGAAATTATTTCAAAATTAACGTTTTCCCTTTTGTTTAAAAAAAATCATGTATTGTACAGGGGAGGGAAGGCAGAAGGGAACATGCTTTGTACAGGGGAGGGGAGGGAGGAGGGAACATGCTTTGTACAAGGGAGGGGAGGGAGGAGGGAACATGCTTTGTACAGGGCAGGAGAGGGAGGAGGAGGGAACATGCTTTGTACAGGGGGGGAGGGAAGATGAGGGAACATGCTTTGTACAGGGGAGCGGAGGGAACAGCAGGGAACATGCTTTGTACAGGGGATGGGAGGGAAGAGGAGGGAACATGCTTTGTACACGGGAGGGGAGGCAGTTGGGAACATGCTTTGTACAGTGAAGGAGTGGGGGGAGGGAACATGCTTTGTACAGGGGAGGGGAAGGAGGAGGGAGCATGCTTTGTACAGAGGAGGGGAGGGAAGAGGAGGGAACATGCTTTGTACAGGGAAAGGGAGGGAGGATGGAACATGCTTTGTAGAATGGACGAGATTTGAGGAAAATTTCTCTGTACAGTAGATACAAGGAGAAGGTGTTACCGTGCTTTGAACAGCTACTTCCGTTTATTGTCAAACTAATATGTCCGCATAGACCCTGGCCAGACAGACAGCGGGGATTGTGCATCTTGGATGATGTCATCAAGCACTGTAGTCCATCTTCGTCTAAATATGCAGAGTATTTCTTACAGCCGATGCTGCAGTATGTGTGTGACAACAGCCAGGAGGTCCAGCAGGCGGCCGCGTATGGCCTCGGTGTCATGGCGCAGTATGGTGGCGAGAACTACAGGCCTTTCTGCACAGAAGCCCTCCCGCTGCTGGTAAGAGTCATTCAGTCCACTGTTTCGGGGACCAAAGAAAACATCAATGCTAGAGAAAACTGTAATTCAGCATTCGGGACAATTATGAAGTTCAAGCCCGACTGTGTGAACGTGGAGAAGGTCCTGCCCCAATGGCTCTCTTGGATCCCGCTGAACAAGGACAGGAGGAAGCTTTCCAGACCTTCAGCTACCTGTGCGACCTGTTGGAGGTCAATCACCCCATCGTCATTGGCCCTAGCAATACCACCCTGCCCAAGATATTCAGCATCATCGCAGAGGGAGAAATGCATGAGGCCATTAAACACGAAGACCCCTTGCAAACGCCTGGTTAACGTGGTTCGCCAAGTTGAGACTTCTGGAAGACTATGGACAGAGTGCGTGGGCCAGCTCAGCCCCGAGCAGCAGGACGCTATCCGGGAGCTCCTGAAGTCCGCTTGAAGGGCTTTATTCACACCACCAGAAATTATTTCAAAATTAACGTTTTCCCTTTTGTTTAAAAAAAACATGTATTGTACAGGGGAGGGAAGGCAGAAGGGAACATGCTTTGTACAGGGGAGGGGAGGGAGGAGGGAACATGCTTTGTACAAGGGAGGGGAGGGAGGAGGGAACATGCTTTGTACAGGGCAGGAGAGGGAGGAGGAGGGAACATGCTTTGTACAGGGGGGGAGGGAAGATGAGGGAACATGCTTTGTACAGGGGAGCGGAGGGAACAGCAGGGAACATGCTTTGTACAGGGGATGGGAGGGAAGAGGAGGGAACATGCTTTGTACACGGGAGGGGAGGCAGTTGGGAACATGCTTTGTACAGTGAAGGAGTGGGGGGAGGGAACATGCTTTGTACAGGGGAGGGGAGGGAGGAGGGAGCATGCTTTGTACAGAGGAGGGGAGGGAAGAGGAGGGAACATGCTTTGTACAGGGAAAGGGAGGGAGGATGGAACATGCTTTGTAGAATGGACGAGATTTGAGGAAAATTTCTCTGTACAGTAGATACAAGGAGAAGGTGTTACCGTGCTTTGAACAGCTACTTCCGTTTATTGTCAAACTAATATGTCCGCATAGACCCTGGCCAGACAGACAGCGGGGATTGTGCATCTTGGATGATGTCATCAAGCACTGTAGTCCATCTTCGTCTAAATATGCAGAGTATTTCTTACAGCCGATGCTGCAGTATGTGTGTGACAACAGCCAGGAGGTCCAGCAGGCGGCCGCGTATGGCCTCGGTGTCATGGCGCAGTATGGTGGCGAGAACTACAGGCCTTTCTGCACAGAAGCCCTCCCGCTGCTGGTAAGAGTCATTCAGTCCACTGTTTCGGGGACCAAAGAAAACATCAATGCTAGAGAAAACTGTATTTCAGCATTCGGGACAATTATGAAGTTCAAGCCCGACTGTGTGAACGTGGAGGAGGTCCTGCCCCAATGGTTCTCTTGGATCCCGCTGCACGAGGACAAGGAGGAAGCTTTCCAGACCTTCAGCTACCTGTGCGACCTGTTGGAGGTCAATCACCCCATCGTCATTGGCCCTAGCAATACCAACCTGCCCAAGATATTCAGCATCATCGCAGAGGGAGAAATGCATGAGGCCATTAAACACGAAGACCCCTTGCAAACGCCTGGTTAACATGGTTCCCCAAGTTTAGACTTCTGGAAGACTATGGACAGAGTGCGTGGGCCAGCTCAGCCCCGAGCAGCAGGACGCTATCCGCGAGCTCCTGAAGTCCGCTTGAAGGGCTTTATCCGCACCACCAGAAATTATTTCAAAATTAACGTTTTCCCTTTTGTTTAGAAACAACATGCATTGTACAGGGGAGGGAAGGCAGAAGGGAACATGCTTTGTACAGTCGAGGGGACTTGAGGAAACACGCTTTGTACAGGGGACTGGAGGGAGGAGGGAACATGCTTTGTACAGTGGAGTAGAATTGAGGAAAAATGCTTTGTACAGGGGAGGGAGGAAGAAGGGAACATGCTTTGTACAGGGCAGGCGAGGGAGTAGGAGGGAACATGCTTTGTACAGGGGAGGGGGTAAGGAGGGAACATGCTTTGTACACGGGAGGGGAGGGTGGAGGGAACATGCTTTGTACAGGGCAGGAGAGGGAGGAGGAGGGAACATGCTTTGTACAGGATAGGGGAGAGAGGAGGAACCATGCTTTGTACAGGGGAGGGGACGGAGGAGGGAACATGGTTTGTAAAGAGGAGGGGAGAGACAAGGGAACATGCTTTGTACAGGGAAGGGGAGTGAGAAGGGAACATGCTTTGTTCATGGGAGTGGAGGGAGGACAGGAAATGCTTTGTACAGTGGAGG